TCTCTTTCTCTTTCTCTTTCTCTTTCTCTTTCTCTTTCTTTCTCTTTCTCTTTCTCTCTCTCTTTCTCTCTTTCTCTCTTTCTTTTTGTCCCTCTCTTTCTCCCTCTCTCTCCCTCTCTTTCCCCTTCCCCTTTTGCTTTTTTCCTTTTTTTCCTTTTTTTTTCTTTTTCCCTTTCCCTTTTTCCTCTTTTAAACTTTCCTAATTCTCAGTTGGAGTAAAAGATTTTATTTTGATTTTTGCATTTTTTTGACCAATACTGTCTTATTAAGAGACTCAGTGGGAACTCCAGTTTTTCAAGTGGATTGATATACATACAGAGCAACATTTTCAGACCAGTTCATGCTGTGATATGTTATCATAATGGGGAAGCCCATCAAAACCAGCAGATGTATTACATTTCTGCAAGTTTTTCAGTAGAGGGCTACTAGCTAGGTACCTCATCTGGCTGGTCATCCAGCCTTCCATCAGCTTGGAGAGAAGGACCTTGGCAAAGCAAGAACCAACCTGTCCCGAAATACATGGGCTAGAGCAGTATCCTGCTCAGTCTGCTGATACTGATGCATGTGAGATTAGACAAAGAAAAAAATATTTTGCTATTTATTATTTGGAAGTTTGGTGTCTGTATTATTTTCTATAATAATATGCAAAGGCACTCTGTACAACTATAGAGTGCCCATGTGATTTGAGGACAGGAATGGGAGCAGCTAAACAGCCATGCCACTGCTTAACTTAAAACATTTTTTGTTCTGAATTACTCAGCCTTTTTTATCGGGAGCTCATTTACCTATTCTGCAGTTCTGCTATGGGAACTAATTAATGTTTCTGCAATTTTTGAGGCACAAATTAGCAAGATATATGATTATCATGGATTCTTCCAGTAACAGGAGCCTGCACACATAAGTAATATGTTATATAATCCAGATGGTATGCTGCTCAAGTGTGGTAAATATTCACAGTAAAGAAGTGTGCAGGACATCTGTCTGGTTGCAAGTATAAGTTTATACAGGCAGATAACCAGCTTTTTTGGAACTTGTTTCACAGCTGTGCTATCATTTGTATAAGGTGATTTTTGTCTGGTGAAGTATCACATGTGATCAATCTACCAGTGGGCAAAATAGGAGGTTTGCTTTCTCTCCATATATGCTGAGGCTGGGTCTGAAACACGGGAGCTGAGCACAAACCCAGTGAGCAACTTGCAGCTGTAATGGGGTTCAGTATCCCCACAGTTCCCGCAGTCCTTCTTTCTCTTAGCAGTATTTTTGCTCTTTGGTTGGACTGACTTAGTCTGGAAAGTTGAAGTGTTTTATATTAAATGGTTTGTGCTGAAGGAAAAACTAACTCAACCTGATGCTCAACAGATTATTCAATTTTAAAAGATTAACTCTGTAAGGAAAAAGTGGCAGATTTATGATAGCATGTAATGATATATGATTATGTTGCTATAATGAGCTAAATAACTACAAACCACAAGAGGAAGGTTTAGCAGCTCATTACTGTGGCAGAAACAAATGCATACACAGGACAAGTTTTGAACCACTTAAATAAATTGACTTTATTCCTTAAGAAAACCACATTTCCTTTTGAATGAATTGTTGCTTTCTAAGTGTTATGTCGTGTGGTTTTGAAAAAGCAATAATTTTCCACTTTGGCCAAATGTTGAAGTATTATTATAAATTCATTATGGAAATGGTCATTCAAAAATCAGTTCTGATTAGCAGCCTTTGAAATCAGTTGATCTGTAACCTGTACTTTAGCTGTACTTGCCCTACTTTTTTTTTGCATCTCAGTTCATTAAGAGCACATTTTTCTAACGAAATCTCTAGCAATTTGGGAGTTTCGAATTTTTGCCGAAAAAAGGAACACGAAGTCTGGCTGTAGATCCAGACATCTGTATAGAAGCATGTAAACATTGTGGATCTGAAATGTTTAGAAGACAGCAAGTTTGTCAAGCTGGTAGCAGAAATATTGATAATGAAAGAATGAGCTGACATTATTTATATGTTTAAACCTAGTTGTAGTAAGATCACATGGAAATTATTACATGCTGAAAGAATTTGGCAGGCAATGGAATCCTGTAGTTAGTTATACCTGACATGATTTCTTGTCAGAATTTTTATGGAATTTGAAAAGCTGAGATTTATTTGCACATGCATGTAAATTACATGACATAACAAGATGGCATTTAATAGGCACATTCCAATTATTTGCTCATTACATCATTCATTTTAAAGCTGGTTGAAGTCTCCTAGGCCATCCCTTAGAGAAACAGAGGCAGCCAGTGCACTGTGTGAAGTGGCTAACTGCAGCTTTTCTGCCACAAATTATTTCAAAGCAAAATTTTAACTAAATGTTATGTTTGGAACTTGGTTTATTCTTTTATTAACTGTTATATTTCTACATCTACTGTGCATAAAACATTTAATAATGATCATTTAAACTGACAGGACATTTAGTAAATTCTTCACTTGAAAATTAACCTCAGAAATTTTTTTATTTAAATCAAAGTTGAAGGAACTGAAGGAAAACCTGAAATCCATGTGGAAAAAAAAATATTGGTGAAACACTTGTTATCAAATGGGTACTACATTTTTAGTCTCCTAGAAGGGGCAGGGATGTTTGCACCAGACAAGCCTTCTTACATACTATGTATTGTAAACACTGAAAGGAGTCTTTTTTAAAAACTTGTGAAAAATGCTCCATGTTTAGTTTGCTCTATTCAACCGTATGTGGTTGTTAATTGAACCATTTGTTATGGTCACATCTTAATTCCTAATACTTTCTGTGTAAATCATTTCAAAAAATCGAAAGGGGCCACGACTAAATGGCAAGAACAGAAAAGTGTTTCATACTGCACATATAAAAAAGAAGTGCTTCGATTGTGCCTCTGAAGCAGTGATTGAGAGCATAGAAAGTAAATTAAAAGTAATTTAAAAAATCTCACTGACATAGGAACTCACTGATCCTACAGTCCTTCTACCTGGAGGTACACAATTTCAGTCACTGCAAGACTCATCTCCACTTTCCGAGATTAACATTCAGCTGGCTACATTTTGAAATACAGCTTTTAATACTTCAAGCACAATTCTTCTTACCCAGGGGTTGCTTCATGACCACTGAAGTGCAGGGAACCTCATCAAATTCTTCCTACACATCCTACTAGTGGAACTGCAGATCAAATTCACCAGCTCCAACTGCATGTCTTTCCTGTTTCAGATCTAAGGCCAGAGTCCTCCAGAATAAACCACTGCCACTGTCACTCCCCATGAAAGCTCCAGGCAGTCATGTGAGAGGTTATTCTGAAGATTAGTCATGTAAACACACAGAAGAGAAATACAAGTGCTTGCTGACAGATGTCCAACCAGGCAGGGAACTGTCTGGTATGAGATCCTTGCCTAAGGAATGAAGCAAGAACCAACTCAGTACTGTCTTCTTGGTGCTCTTGTCTATGCAGAAGAGCTGTCTTGAGTCTCCTCCTCCTTCTTACCTTTTGCAGTTCAAAAGCTGTTGGGAGTCCCTGTCTTTCTCCTTCACTTTTCATTCTCAAGGAAGCAGCTACTTGCTTCTCAGCCCCGCCTCCCATAGCCATCCCTGGGCCTTTTCCCACTCGCATAGAATGTCTTTGGTATAGGGTCCCACCATCTCATCATTTCTATCAAGCTAGTGAAAAAGAAGTAAGCTTTCATGATACCGGTCAAGTCAGAAAACTCCCATTTTCAATGTCACGGTTGGTTTGGCCTGACCAGTGTTCCAGCTGCAACCTTTCCCTTCCTCCCTCCCTCTTTTTTCTTTAGGTTCCTACCTGCACTTATCACATCTGCAAGCACATTAGAACAGGAATAGTGTATTTTTCTGTGGTTTCTTTGGGAAGCAGTTGGCAGAAACAGTCGTGGTGAATACGACAGTGCAGTAACACCAGTATTTTCCTACGTCATGTCTCTTGGGTAGCTCCAGTAACACTTTTTGCACTGTCTTCTCAGACTATCACACAGCGATGCCGAGGGGTAGATATTGCAACCCAAAGGAGGATTTGATTGCTTATGGAAGTTCTTTTCCACACTTCTGATTCTGAGGCAATTCTCTGCCTCACGTGTTTTTTTCTTGAGCAGCTAAGAGAGTGTAACTTAAAACACTTCAAAAGAAACCTTTACCCGTAGGTCTTGAGAAAACCCTGGATCCAGCTAGTTTCAATCCAGTTCTGTCATGCTTGGCTGTTCAATTTTCTAAGCCACCATGCCAGCCCTTCAGATCATAAAGGTATTTAATTGATTTAACAAAGGCAAGCCTGAAAGCATGACGAAAGGGCGGCAATTACAGAGACAGAGAAAATACACGTCATGCCTTCCCTAGAAGTGATGTGTATAGCAGACATTCTGGAAAATGTTCTTTTTTTTTTTCTCTAGCAATGCATATAAGTGCTCTCTGCAACCAGTTATACTTCATCTGAAGCCAAGTGTCCCTTTTTTTTCACTGCTCTTCTCAAAAGGATATATTTTTAGAAAGCTTACAGCAGGGAGTTCATGTTTTGTAAACAGAGAAATCAGGATAATTATAAAAAAGCCAATCAATAAAGCACTGTACCTAAAACCACATCAAAAAATGGCTTTGCTACCTCTTATAAGAGGCCTTTGGTTTTCTGAGCCAGACTCTCCAGGCAGTAAATAGAGGTGGCTGTCTATTTATTCCAAGGAAGGACACGCATCATTTAATAATCATCTTTCCAAATTTCTGGGCCTTCTACATAGCAGCAAATATGAACAGCTTTAGTACAGTGTATATAGTGTCTTTATCTAATATAGTCGTCCATTAGTACTTCACCAATCATGGATATCAACAATTCAGGTATTTTGTGGTGGAGGATCACAGGTTTCAAGAAATGAGTCATCTAATCCTTGCAGGTTCTGCCAAAACATATATTAAACTGTGAAACTTCAGAGCAAATCTTTCACCACTCAGTGAGTTCATTGCATTTCTACTGAAGAGTTGCTTCACTTAGCCTTATTTATTACCACCTCAGAAAACATGACCAGAATGAACAGACAGATCCTGAGCTTTGCCTCATACTATCTGCTTGGTCAAACTTCAGTAGTAAAGGGAAAATGTAGAAAAAGACAGGAGATCTTTCTTAACAGGATGAAGCTTCTGCACTGCATGATTTTTAAGGGACAAATTCCAGCCTGTGCAGCATCCAGGCACTGTGGCACAGGCACGGGTATTTAATTTCTGAACAAACACACTGAATAGCTGCACAACTGGCCCAGCAAGTCAGGTCTCCCACTGGAGAGTGGAGCTGCGCTGACTTCCATCAGCTGAAGATCCGGTTGCGTCTGTGTTTGACCAAACTACCTGGAGCTTTTGCAGTAGTTCCTTAGGAAATGTTTCAGTCTGAGTAAGCCTGAGGGAAGAAAGACAAGAGCTCCATGTTTTTCCTGGCAATTAGAGGAAAATCTTGATGGCATTTTTTACTAAGCTTTAAGCCTGACTTGGTTGACTTCAGTCACATATAAGGAAAGGAGCATCATTTCAGAAGGGACTTTCAGAGAAGGTAGGAAAAGAGACAGTTAATATGAATGTGCAGTTAATGTGGAATGCACCTGGAATCAGGAAGACGTTACTGACGCAGGAGGAAGGAAGAGAATTAAACCAGGCCTGGTTGGTATGAATCTTGTGGCATGCTTTGAGGTCATCCGTACAGAAGCAAATAGTATTTTCTTTTAGGATGTTGGCACCACTTGTAAGTTGTAAAATTCCTTCCTCAGTAATTCATTTGCCCTTTACTGTTAAATATCTTCTGTTGTGTACCGCTCATTCACAACTCTTACTGGCAAAAAACAAACTCTTGGTCCACTGGTAATACAATACTTTAAAAAAAAGCAGGACATAAGAAATGTGGGATATGCAGAGGACAGAAGTCAAACATGCCTCAAACAGAATGACTGAGGCAGTCAGAGACCATATGGACTTATCTCAGCACTTTTCAGAAGCAAGAACTTGTAGGTGAACTCAAAGTCTTCACCTGACATCCATCTGGAGTCAGTTCTGCACCTCTAGTTCAATTTTACTTGCAGCTGTAGCCCCCTGTGTTCAGTGAAAGGGGTTTCATTTGCCATAAAAGCAGTCTGAGAAAGGAGAGGGTTAAGGTACTCACTCTTAAAGGTATTTTGAACAAATAGTGCTTCTCCAGCAGTGCGTAGTGCACACTGGATGGGAAAAGACTTAACTGAAAACAAAGCAGTGCTATTCATTTAAATATCATATTATTGTATTTAAATTAAAAGTAATTAATTATAGGCATATGCCCTTGGGAGCTAAGTATCCTGGACCTGATCCAGTGGAGTACTTACTACTTGTCTTTGAACACAGGTGGGCTGCTGCCTGCATTCTGATCTATTGCCTGAAATGAAGTGCATCCTTAAGATTTTTCCTTGATGGGGATCACAGTCCACAGCATCTTGGGGGACTGAGTCTGATGTAGCTTTTATATTATTACACCTTATAGAATAGGCTGATCATTTTTCCATAGTTAAAACTGAGGAACTAAAAACCCCCACAATAGTAATGAAATACTCTGACAGAAATGGATCTAATTCCATTGCACTAGTTTTAAACTGTGTGTGCAATATCTGTTTTCAGGTTACCAAGGCAGCTTTCACTCAATACAAAACTGTTTCCACTACGGAGACTGCTACAGAACAACGGACCAGTCTGTCACCAGTGATGTGCTCACAGGGGAATCCCATTGCTTTAATCCTCTGAGACAGAACGGCTATCACGTACTCAATGCACCTTTAGCTTCAACAGGTAATTTATTCCACCTATAAAGAAATTAGCTATATGTTTTTAGCAGCAGGGAAAAAGAGCACAATTTATAGTCAATGTTGTTACAAAAATGTTTGCATAAAAAAAATCATCACTGAAATTCATTTTCCCAGAAGGAAAGAAAATTTGTTTTCTTTAGTCCTCCTTTCATTCTGCTGGATGTCATAGGCAACACACACCTTCAGTAGAGCTGACAGACTAGCACTTCCCACATTTACGGTGTGAGCTATTTATGGTACATCTCTTCAAGTTTGTTCAGCCTTTTTAAATCAGAGTAAAGTTAAGAAGATGGTTAACACAACTCTGAAGAAAATAGCAGCAGCAGGGACTTCCTGTCCATCTAAGAATAAAAGGATGGCTTTGTTTTGCAGTACTGGTGTTTACAAAATGGAAAGGCACCGCTTTGAAAAATTCAGCTAAAATTATTTCTTTTTATTCTTTTTATTCGGGAGTTCCTTTCTGTTTGCGCTGTTGCATATTATGGCAATTGTATGTTCCTGTTTAGCTACATATTTGCATAATGTAAAATTTGCAACAAGTTATTACAGCTAGATGATTATAATGCTTGAGTATTTAAGTACTCATTTTTATAAAGCATTTTTTTCTACTTCTAAAACCACAGTTAAGAATTGATGGAATTATTGAAATCAAACAAAATGTGAGTATTCTCAGAGCCATGAAACACTGCCATTTACTACAATCTTTACTTAGCATACCTCGTTGAGAAAATTCTCTCCATGTCTGAATTCAGGAGGGCATCTTGGTTAAGGACAATACTGAAAACATATGTTTAAATGCTTTTTGAAATGGAGCCTGAGTCAGACCACAAAATTAGAGTTGACTTTCCTGTTTGTTTTGTATTAAAGGAGACTCTATTTGGAGAGAGCATGCATGCATTTGTCTGGTGTTCCACACTAGAAAGTGTATGCATCAGGAACAAACACAAGGGAAAGGTTTAAGATGAAGTTTCAACTTCAACTTTGAATTCTTTTGTGTTATTCATAAGTTTGATGTTACTGAAACAACTTTTTTTCATGTTAACATCCAATTTCAAGTTTAGATTGACAACCTGCAATACTTAAAGAACAGACTAAATAAACTTTCCAAAAGAAATTGTAGGAGCAAAGAATAATACTATGGCAAGACACCAACTTCAACAACAGTTGATTTTTCTGTGTGAGGCTAAACTGTTATGAAATGTTTCTGTGTAATATTTTTAGTTTTTAGAGTGGTTACTGAGGTATGCAAATACATAAAAGGCTGAAGCATAAATATGTGAGAAATATATAAATCTTATCTTTTTGTGTGTAAAATAGAACCATTCAGGTTTGCAAGATTCATCAAGGCTACGCATTAATTTTTTTCAGGCTTTTATAGCACCATTAATATTAAATGAGATCTCATCTCACAGGAAAAGACTGGCAAACAGCTGTTCCATGAATCACATTAACAGTCAATAAATTTTTATTTTCTGTTCAGGACTTTGGATAGTTTACTCTATCTGGAATCTAATAATGATTTCTGGGGTGTATGCTTATCTTGGGTTTTGTCCATCTGTGGTTGTGTATCCACCCTGTATACAGGCTCATCAAATAGAAATTAGCATAACATAAACACTCGCAAAACTTATCAAAATACTGGTCACTCCACTTGGACTGACACAGCACAGGGCGGATAAACAGGCCAACTTCGGCTTCCAGAGACTTTGCACATACGCTGTGTGCCAGATTTCTGCAGACAGCAGAGTTTGACCTGTAAACTAACAGTAAATTAATACGTCATAGGAAAATGCAGAAATGTAAATAAGTAGAGAATTTGGGCTCAAATAATAAAAACATACCTAACAGTAAAATACCTATAATTAAGTTCTAAGGACTGAGCCGACAGTCCTTTCTGAAATCAGGACTGGCTGTATAAGACTCCAGGATCTGTCCTCACTGCTGGTGGTGCCATGCCGCACAGCCCAGAGGCCTCAGTTCAGCCTGGTGCAGTTTATTCCTCCTTATCTAGACACACTTGGCTGCAGAGTTAGGCAGGCACAAGAGATGAGAGAAAGGCTAAAAAGAAGGAAGAGCCTCATTTTCCACATGGGGAACCGAGACACAGAGAAACAGTTGTTTTCCAGTGGCTCCAGAGATCTCCTCCATCAAGCAGAGAATGGAGCTGGGACCCAGCGGTTTAACCACGAGGATGAGCCATCCACACATTGACTTGCAATTCACACAAATGTGATTTGTAAGAGATTTATTTTCTACATCAGGCACTTATTTCACAGGCATATTCTTAACTAGAAGAATCATGTTCCATGTGTTAAGGTGACTTAATGCTGCTGCTGATTATTCAAATTGTGGGAGTGGGCTGGGTGCAAGGGTCAGAACATTGTGCTGAAGCTCACACAGACACTTTTCTAAAGATGCAACCCAAATCAGGTGGTACAGGGAAAAACTGAATACATATGTTAAAGCATGAGCATAAGGGGTCAATGTTTCATGCAGTACTTTGGGGAGGGGATAGTGGGGTGTGTTAAAAACTGTTGAAGGAGAAGGCTCAGGAGATTGCCCAGACCCCCAGCAGAGAGAAGGGCAGGGCAAGAGATGAACACAGCAGGAGTGAGGTATGGAAAGAGCTAGACTGCAGTAAAACGATTATGTGTGTGTGAGCCTTGACTGGCCAGTTGCAAAAGCAGGTTATAGTGGGGCATAACAGGAAATTGTCATGTCCTTTGAGGTAGGCAATAAACTTTTTGTTTCAGACTCCTGGGCACTCCAGCTGCCATAGCACCTTGTAGCAGGCAAACCTGTTCCTTTCCACAGGGTTGCACAGCTCAAGGAGGCTGGTAAGAGCTGTGGAAGTTTTGCATTATAGAAGGAGAAGGACAGAGAAATTCTGTCCCACCACAGTGGCTTTCTTGCTGGCTGGCAAGCAGCAGCCAGCCTGGCCAGGTGAGGAGCCAGCAGCATGGTGGGCATTGGTGGGCTGAGGACAATGTGGTGCCCAGCTCCTTCCACGCACCCTGTGAGCCTGATCTGACCCAGACATGCTTCTGCAGACTTCAGTTCTGCACTATGTGGAGATCCATTAAATGTAGGATCTAGATTTCTTCTAGATCCTAAGAGCAGCTGGGACACACATGGAACATTTTTTGTATGTGCTATTAAAAGGAAAAACACACAAACCAAGGACTGCATCACTGTTAGTGCACACTTACTAGGATCCTTGCCCACTCATTGTTTTGACATCCTATTCAGATAATGACTGCAAAGTCCCAAGAGAGTCATACTCTGATACTTGCACCTCACTTGCAAATGGGTAGCTTTCCACAGAAATGAATGGGAGCTTCATCTACTGTGACACAAATGCCCGTGGAGATTAGTTTGTATACGTCCTGGGTAAGGCTTTGATGGTAAACCCTATTGTCTTTCCCTTAACACTGTGCTGTACTGTATAGTCCCAGGCCTCAAATTCTGCTTCCTTCCTTATATGTACTGTGGTGCTAAATCATGTCCATACAACTTGTCACACTTTCAGGCTATGACGCAATCTCTGAAGCACAGTGTGTATCTGAAGACATGGTCTCCAACGGAACTGATGAAAATGGATTCTTCCAAAACGGCGCCTTTGATCACTGCTTGAATCACATTCCTTCCATCTATACAGATACCTAAGAGCAGTGCCCACCTTGTTTCCTTTATTATGCCTATAATGTGTATGTAATAACAAAGGTGTTGTTCAAGTACTTTTATTTAGTCTGTATCCCTATATGTGCTCATTTAAACAAACACCTCACATTTACCAAACCATTTTATACATGAATAGTCTGTATAAGATAATATTGGAACCTGTTCCTTTGCTGTGGCACTTTGAAATTCATGCTTTAAGGGATTGAGGAGCATTTAAAGCAGCTTGTTTTGTAAGTTCTCTCAGTAAAGTGTAAATGTAAATTATATAATAAACTTGTAAAGAAGGTGGGTTTTTTTTCCTGAAAAGTATGTTTCAATTTGAGAATGTTGTTCCCTTCAATCAGTTTTCATTTAAATCATTGGTCAGTTCTTCTCTTTTGTTTCTTTTTTTTTTTTTACTAAAAGGATGTTTTTTAATCACAGACCTCATGTATATAAAGATCTTCATTTGCTCAGCTGGTTTTATATTTTCAGTTTTACAAGAAAGCATTAAAAACTGGAAATAAGTGTACTGTCATTTCTTAACATCATCGGTCTGCCTGATAAATCCTAATATTACATTCTTAAAATGCCTAAGAGTGATTTAAATAAAGCAGTGACATTTCAATAACTGTGAAATTAAAGCAGCTCAAGTGTATGTGAAGTAAACCAAGGAGCCTGCCAGCTTTCAGTGAAGGTACCTATAGCCTTCCAGAAGACACCACTGCTTTACTCTGTCTAATACACAAATCCCAACCTGAGGAAATGAAGCTGCATCTGGAACCTGCTGTCACGCAGGTGTGGGTGCAGCCTCACAAAGGAAAAGGAGAGGCTGGCAGTTAGAGTAAATGAAGATGTGCCACATCCCTGGGAAGATATGTAGATTAACATCAACTTTGCTCTTATACTATAAATGGAAACAAATGCCAATAAACATACTAGCTGCCCTTGACAGGTCCAGCTGCGACTGGCTGTGTCTCTTGTGCCCAATGCCAGAGGGCTTGAGCTTGGCCATAGGGCCCAGCTCTTGTGAAATGGCTGAAGGACACTTTTACAGCAGGTCCAAAAATGAAGTCTGCAAAAGAACACCATGCCCAGACCAATAACCAGCCATTTCCATGGGCTAGTTCCCAAACCGCCACATCTGCACAAGCAGAGGCGCCACGCCAGGCACCTGGCAGCCCAAGATGGCTGTTCTGAGCCCATCCGAGCCAGAGGTGCACCCCTGGAATGCTGCTGATGCCTGAGAATTTCTTCTCCACCAGGCAAATCTTCAGAAGCATCATTTGGTAAAGGGCACCCAAATTGCACATTGATTGATGTCTGTAAAATACCCCTTCATTTACAGCTCAAAGGTACCCAAGTACCATGGGGCACCACTGAAAAGCACTCACTGGGTTGAAACCAGTCAGGGACTGAGGACAGTAACTTCTCTTCCTCCCCCTTCTCCCCATTACCAGGATCCGCTTGGCAGTGTTGTGCCCATGCAATGCTGTTCCCTCATGCCGGTGCCAAACCCCATCACTTCAGTTTTCAGGCCTGTTAATACAATTAGCTCCTCCCCAGAGAACAGCCTAAAAATCAAGCAGCAGCCGCTGGAAGATTTCTTGCCCTCCTTATCCCCAACGGACTGACAGAAAAATGTTGAGCACCTGGTTTCGACAAAACAGCGAATTCCACAGGAAAAAAAATGCTAAATTCAGTGGCACATTAAGAAAATACCACATTTTGCAGCTGCATAATCAGAATCCACAGAGCAGGCCTCAAGCTGAATGGGATGATTCTTTGGCAGCATTTGCAGAAGTGGCATTACTGAGTCCACAAGACTGTGGTTCCCCTTATGGTCACAAAGTTATACAACCACAATGAATACATATATATTTTAAAGCATAATTTGGTGGCAACATGTGAACCCAGCAGTCAAAAGTACTGGGGAAAACACAGTAGCAGCATAAATTCAGAGGTCTCCAGTGCCCCAGCCACTCAGTATGTGTCCTTTGCAGGTCTACCACGGGCTGCCAGCTGTAACTCTTGGCAGTTTCTAGCTTTGGCAAACATCTTGTATGGATTCAGAGGGGTTTGGTGAGGGTGTCTCGCATTTGCAGACAACCCTTGAACAGCAGCTCTGCTGAGGAACCAAGCCCCTGCCCTCTGCAGTGGTGTCATCGCCACAGGCCAGTCAGCAGCCGGTGGCCGATGGCTCCCTGCCTCTGTCAGGCACTTCGCACGGAAGTGCAGCAGGGGAAATTGTGCCAAAGGGAAGTGCTGGGGTGGTGGAAAAGAAACAACAGAATGACACTGAAGGAGGACAACCAGCAGTCAGTCACAGTGAAAAGCTTGTACCACCCTACCCAGAAACACAAGACACAGCTCAGGTCCTGGCACCTGGAGCTCCAGACCATGGGTCAGCTCCCACATGAGCCTTTAGTGCTCCAGTGCCAGCGCACGTCTTCTCAGCCATGGCAAGCCCGGGAAAAGCCCTGGATGCCATGGCGTCACAGCAGCATGTTTAGCACTGCTCCGAGGCTGGTCTGGGCTAACCACAAAGCCTACAGGGATGCATTTTACTTATTCCTCCAGGGCCTGGTTGCACCTTGTTAAAGTACATGAAGGTTCCTCTGTATCCAATTTAGTTTTCTGTCCTCAAGAAATTTGAATGAAACTTAGACATTCAGGAAGTTTTACAGTTAGTCACTACAGAACAAAGTGCATGGGGTTATATGATCCCGCCCCTTTTATAAACCGTTCCTCAACATTTCTAGCTCTCAAGGACACCAACTCCCAGCTGCAAGGCTGCTAACTGTGGCTGCTCTGCCTGGCCCAACAGTCCCTGGCAGCACTGACTCATCAGTCTTCTCCTAGAATTCAAATGGTTAAAGGCTCCAAAGTGTGCTCTAAGCCTATGCGTGTGGTTTTGCTTTTGATTACTGCCACATTTGGATATCTGTTCTGTTGCTTATCTACTCTGATGCATCAGTTGGGGGATTTTATTTTTTTTTTTGGTCTCATACAGAAGTGGCCAGAATTCTTTCCTAGAGCATTAAACAAGGAGGCAGGTAGCTTAACAACTGCCAAGCAGCAAAAAACTCTAGAGCTCTTGCAGGAGGACTTAAAAGAAGCGTATCCAAACCCTAACAAATCTGTAATGGCTGAGACAAACATCAAAATAATTCCTGTGCTTCAATTAGTTGGAGACATTAAAAGGAAATAGTGCTTTAAAAACATGATTAATCTCACTTCCTAAAAATTAAAGAAATCCTTCTAAAAATGACATTTTTCTTTAGTTAAAAATACAAACCAACCAAACCTAAACATATTTGATCAATTACAAAAATATTTATGTCACAACAACAAGGCTGTTCAAAACCACACGATGATTCACAAAGGTCTGGGAAACAAAGAACAGCAGCTGGAGTGACGATTTAATTCCAGAATCTGTGTGAATCAGGTTTTCTGTAAATTAAAAGGATAGATTCAGAGAAATGCAAAGGCACTTATTTGAGTCTGAATGATTTGGAAAGTTATCCATAATAAAACCATTAAAATACACAATAGCCCAAGTTAATGGTTACTTGTGCACTTGTGTACTTCATTATTTCTTTATTATATGTTAAGTAGGGAAGTATCTCTTGTAAGCTTGTCCTAAAGACACAAAGAAACCTTTCAATGGAATTTATTGCTTTGCAAGTTTCTCATTGTGGTTCTGTAAAAACCCCACCAACTAATACGTATAATAACTGGAGTAAGGCTTTATAATAGTAGAAAATGATTACCCTGTGGAATGAAAATGGAACTGCTGGTTCCAGTTGACTGTCAGATACTTTTTCAGTCTAGGCAACAGAATTCAAACAATAAATTACAACACTGCTTTATAAATAGCTCCAAATCATTTCTCCAGTGAATGAAAACCCCATTTACTCTTGTGCATGTACTCTGTGTGTATGTAGTATGTCTGTATACGCAGACTGATAAAAGATGACCTTCAGTGGCTGATCAAGCTGGGAGAGAAAAAATAGATTTCAAGTTGGCACTGAGGCAGCTAAAGAACTTTGTGCTTTCCACCACCTGGGATAAAAACCAAACATTAAGCAGGACCTCCAAAATTTTAATATAATCAAGCCCAAGTTTTTCATTGTATAGAAAACCAAAATGTTTGCTTTGTTTCCCATTTACTAACTGCACTGCTTCACAAGCTATAGAAGTAATCATCCTTTCAGTGCCATAGATGGGCCTTTGCAAGTGAGAAAATGACATGTACACATGTGGCACATCACGACAAAATAACACTACTTCAATGCCACAATTCTGATATGGCAACATGACACAGGAATTTGCAAGACCAAAGCCTCAGGTCTGCAGTAGGAATGGTTACAGCCTGTGGCAGGTATCAGATACGCTCCCTTGGAAAGAATAGAGTTGGGGAGCACATTTTCCGATCATATTTTCTAGTTAAGTCCACACCAAGCAGCAGGAACAGCTGCTGCTTGTGGAAAGGCTTCCCTGCTTCTGAGATTGTCCTTTCAAATGGATATGTTTTTGAAATGGTACAAGTCCAAAAAACAAATTCCAGAGCACATTAAGAGCACCGATTTGATACTGCAATAGATGTCAGTTACGCAAGCAAAGCAAAAAAAACCCAGCTCTTAAAACAACAACCAAGTATGTGAAAATAAACAGTGACTGTAAATTGAATTTAAATTGCTTAAGAGTGAAAGATTTCAATGGGTTTTGTTATGATCTTATTAAAATCTACACGAGTTTAGTTCAGTTCTCCAGTAATGTATTTGTATTAAATTAGAAGTTCGGCACAGCAGAAAACAAAAAAAGATAGTCAGCCTATTTTATTTAATTCACTGACAGCAAAAAGCCATTGGAATATTCCCTCCTGAGATAAGCCTGTCTGAGATCTGCAGACATACACTAAAAGCTCTTCTGTACTTCAATTTCAAAGCAAACTCTAAACTCCCTTAAGTGATTTGGAAGTCAGTGGCCCAGAGTCAAAAGAAAAAGAGCTCTAGATGTCTAGATTGTCAAAGCCTTGCAAGGTTGCATAGACTGGCTCCGTGGGCTGTCAGCCACTCATAGCTGCAAAACCAGTCAAACCACGACCAGCCATTTTTCTTTAAAGCATCTAAACCACAGAAAGTACCAATCTAGCTAAAAGCCTTTAAAAGACTGAGTTTCTACCTGATTTCCAGTGAGATGAAAAAAAAAT